TCCCCTTTCCCTGGGTAAGGTAACAGGGAAGGTTCTAGAACAATCAGGAACCTTCTGGAGACAATTAAGACAGACAGGCTGATTAGAACACCTGCAGCCAATCAAGAAGCTACTAGAATCAATTAAGGCAGGCTAATCAGGGCACATGGGTTTAAAAAGGAGCTCACTTCAGTTTGTGATGCACGTGAGGAGCTGGGAGCAAGAGGCACTAGGAGTTGAGAGTGAGAACACGGACTGTTGGAGGACTGAGGAGTACAAGCATTATCAGACACCAGGAGGAAGGTCCTATGGTGAGGATAAAGAAGGTGTTGGGAGGAGGCCATGGGGAAGTAGCCCAGGGAGTTGTAGCTGTCGCACAGCTGTTCTAGGAGGCACTCCAGACAGCTGCATTCCACAGGGCCCTAGGCTGGAACCCGGAGTAAAGTGTGGGCCCAGGTTCCCCCAAACCTCCCAATTCCTGGTCAGACACAGGAGGAGTTGACCTGGACTGTGGGTTCACAAAAACAGCCAAACTGAGGGCTGCCGTGAAGCTCCAAGGCGAGCAAATCCACCAATAAGCGCAAGACCCACCAAGGTAGAGGAGGAACTTTGTCACAATATATATATACACACAGAGAACATGAAAAAATGGGTGTTGCCATACCCACTATAATGAGAGTGATCAGGTAAGGTGAGCTATTATCAGTAGGAGAAAAAAAAACTTTTGTAGTGATAATCAGGATAGCTCATATCCAACAGTTGACAAGAAGGTGTGAGTAACAGTAGGGGGAAAAATAAGCATGGGGAAATAGTTTTACTTTGTTTACAGTACCTCAAGAAATATTATCAGAAATTACAGAGTGGGTTCTAATGATCAAAATAAATGAACAAAGTAAAGATGATGTTTTATCTTTGCTTTCTTGTTATGTTTGTTTACATACTCAAAATTCATGTACTGTTTCAGAATAGTAAATGTTTAAGGCTCAAGGAAAACTTGCAATTCTAGTTCAATACTTGGTTAACTCCTATAATTTTTGTTTCCTTCATGCCTAAAGTCTCACTTACTCACACAAGCTTTTTAGTAATAAGGGATCTGGCTGCTATTTTATTGCCAAATGTGTTTGGGGAAGGCATCGTAAATGAGAAATAATGCTTTAAAGTTTATTCATCTGGGACAAATCCAAGCACCATATTTACATTTTGGTCTGAAATTAACTTAATAAACCTTTTAATAAGAAACAAAAAAGTGAGGTGTGCGTTTAGTGAAAGCAAAGTATCTATGATTCTTGACAAAATTCTTAACTTTTTATATAGTTTTCATCTTTTGGAAAGGCACCATGTACTTCACCTAATTACTGGCAATAAAACTAAGTAAAGGATTTAAGACCTATGAATGTTACAGCTGGCGGAAACTATAATTAAGGCTGGCAAGACTCTTGTTTCCTTTAGGAAATAGGGACTTTAGATGGCTTTTAAAAGGGGACAGTAATTATTTTTCTTCCCATTTAGCATATATGTATTGATAAATACATGTTCCTTAGTCTTGTACCTTGGAGTAAAGTAAATTGCAAATAACAGTTCAATTAGATTTCTAAAACATGCTATTTTAGATCAAAAATACTTTTCTAATGGTAATTATCATTTCTTCTGACTGTGAGACTCAACCGTCTTACATCCTTTAATTACATTTTACTGCTGGTGATCATGAGAGGTAAGTAGTGCATTCAAGTTGATAGATATGGTTAAAAAGCAAACTCGTTCTAAGGAATGACACTTGTCTAGATGGTATTGTGCTTCAAAGCAGTAATATTTGTTTTTTTAAGTGTGAAGGCTGGGATTTTCAAAAGCACTCACTGTTGGCCTAACTCTGCTCCCATTGACTGGACTTTCAACCTTCTGTTTTAGATACTTTATCATTCCCTTAATAAAACTGCAGCCTGAATAGATACTAAGTATGGATAACAAGTTGGGAGGAGTTGTAAGTGCTTTGGAGGATAGGATTATCATTCAAAATGATCTTGACAAACTGGAGAAATAGTCTGAAGTAAATAGGATGAAATTCAATAAGGACAAATGCAAAGTACTCCACTTAGGAGGAAGGAACAATCAGTTTCACATATACAAAATGTAAGATGACTGTCTAGGAAGGAGTACTGCAGAAAGGGATCTGGGGTGTCATAGTGGACCACAAGCTAAATATAAGTCAACAGTGTAACACTGTTGCAAAAAAAGCAAACATCATTCTGGTATGTATTAGCAGGAGTGTTGTAAGCAAGACACGAGAAGTAATTATTTCGCTCTACTCTGCACTGATTAGACCTCAACTGGAGTATTGTGTCCAGTTCTGGGTGCCACATATCAGGAAAGATGTGGACAAATTAGAGAAAGTCCAGAGAAGAGCAACAAAAATGATTAAAGGTCTAGAATACATGACCTATGAGGGAAGATTGAAAAAATTGGGTTTGTTTAGTCTGAAAAAGAGAAGTCTTAAGTACATAAAAGGTTGTTTCAAGGAGGAGAAAAATTTTTCTTCTTAACCTCTGAGGATAGGACAAGAAGCAATGGGCTTAAATTGCAGCAAGGGAGGTTTAAGTTGAACATTAGGAAAAACTTCCAGTCAGGGTGGTTAAGCACTGGAATAAATTGTGTAGGGAGTTTGTGGAATCTCCATCATTGGAGACTTTTAAGAGCACGTTAGACAAACACTTGTCAGTGATGATCTAGATAATACTTACTCCTGCCATGAGTGCAAGGGACTGGACTAGATGACCTCTCAAGATCCCTTCCAGTCCTATGATTCTATAATAGTGTGACTTCTATCAGTGAGACAGTCCATGAAAATCAGTTGGCTTTCCAGCATATAAACTGACAAGTTATTCTCTGTGTATCAGCTTTGAAAATCCTATGAACTTGCTTCAGTTGTACCTAACTAGCATTATGTACAGATTCACCAGCAGTTAAAGTATGGTGAAAGTGAACTGTAACTTTTTCATGCGCTTTCTTGCCTGTTCTCTCAGATAAATTTTCAATAAAGTGTCTAAAAAAACCAAACTAATAGGTTTTACGCTGCCTGAGGTGAAGCAATGGTTAAGCCTTGTGCAACCTTTTTTCTGTAGGTATGTGGCAGTCTGACATGTTTCCCCCTTCGTTTTGGAGGCAGCTTTTCACGTAGGAGCATAGCAGAGAACAAAGGAGCTGCTGCTTGTTGGTTGGAGATTTGTGAATTTTGACACTTGGGTTACTTTTCACATTCAAATTATCTGTATTTTCCCCAAATAGCACACAAGTGTTTTGTAAAATGACTTTCTAGTCACAAGTTACATTTTCAACTAGACTTATACTGATGTGGCAACTGCCGAAGGTGACCAGATAGCAAGTGTAAAATATTGGGACAGCGGGTGGGGGGTAATAGGTGCATATATAAGAAAAATTCCCCCAAAATCTGAAACATCTCTGTAAAATTGGGACATCTGGTCACCCTAGTAATGCCTGTACAGTTAGCAGTCTGTCAGCATTTCCATCGGGAGTGGGCTGTAAAAAGTATGCTCCCAGCCAATACGTGGTATGCAAGGTTTGCATCCAAGAACAATGAAAACAACAACAACAACAAAAACCCCAAACACACTTGGCAGCCTTGAAATTAGAAGAACACCGACAAAATTGGGAAATTTGCTACTTTAAATGTTCTGTGCTCCTGAAAGTCAGGACATTAACCAATTCAATGTGTAAGGTGGATATTTTGGTTTGGGTTTTTATTGGTCACCGAACCTGCACTGTACCAAGTTCTAGAGCTACAGATGGATGTTTTTGGTTAACGTGGATGGTTTTATCTTTACTTCTTGGTTTTTTATTTATCTTTGACTATCCATTCAGCACTTCTGTGTTGTTATACATACCTTTATCCCTTTCTAAGCCTCTTGTTCAATAACTCTTATTCTCCTAATTTTCCTCATAACTTTTGGGAGCTCCAACACATTCTTCTATTTTGATACCTTCCTGACTTGCTGACTGGGCTCAGCAGATAGTCCTAGTGCACCAATAAGGCTTTGTATCAGGTGGGTCTGGGGTTAATGACTGTTGGGTGTGGGAGGTGACAGAAATCAGATGGTAATGGGAATTGTAGAGACTGAAGACTGAGTTTAATGGCTGCAGAAGGATGCTAAGTGGTGGGAAGCAGGGGTATAGAGTGGGCACGGGGGAGGTGCCCTCATCTCATGTTAGCTCCTCCCATTAGTGCCCTCTCTGTGAGACATCTCGTGTCTTCCTGTCAGTATCCCGGGCTGATGAATCTCCTCTGCACCATCAGACTGCTGTTCCTGTCTGGAGAACTATAGAGGGTTTGCTGGTGGGAGGAAGCTGTTTGAGCAGTAGTACTGGTGGATCTGCTCGCACTAGACCTTTCAGCACCCAGTCTCCCTGTCTCCTTGCCCCCTTATCAAAATAAGTCTGTGTGTATGTATGTTCATATACATATATAGCTAGGTATATATAGTAGTGATGCAGGGGTCCTGAGGGCAGAATTTGGATTGCAGTGGAAAACTGTTCTGTTGATCCGTGAGCTAGAATCCATTCTAGCTCACGGATCAACAGAACAGTTTTCCACTGCAATCCAAATTCTGCCCTCAGGACCCCTGCATCACTACTGCAGGCAATGGGTTTTGAGGAAAATTGTTTATAAAGCACACTAGAAATTTTTCTTCACAGCCCCACCTCCTCAGTGCGTACGCTTTCAAGACCCTATATAGTGAACCTTATTCGTTCCCAATCAAAGACCCATTTACATTTCTAAAAGCTTTAGGCTCAAATCCACTCCTCTCTGCCAGGGCTGGCTCTAGAATTTTTGCTGCCCTAATCAAAAACATTTTTGGCCACCCCCACTTTTTTTTTGTGCCCCCCCAACTCCGCCCCTTCGCTGCCCCTTCCCCAAATCCCGGGCCCCGCCTCCTCCCCCGGGCGTGCTGCATTTCCCCCCCTCCATTGCTTCCTGCAGCTCCCCCTCACAACCCCCTGCCCTAGCTCACCTCTGCTCTGCCTGCTCCCCTGGACACGCTGCCGCTCCACTTCTCCCCCCTCCCTCTCAGGCGAGGGAGAGGCAGCGCATTCAGGGGAGCAGGCGGAGCGGAGGTAGAGGAACTGCTCCCCGCCCCAGCTCGCCTCTGCTCCGCCGCCGCCGCCTCCCCCGAGCGCGCCGCCACTTGGCTTCTCCTCCCTCCCAGGCTTGCCGCGTGCCTGGGAGGGAGCGGGGAGAAGCAGAGTGGCAGAGACGCGCTTAGGGGAGCAGGCGTAGGCGATCTGGGGCAGCGGGGGCACATTTCTAGGGACGGCATGGACGGCGCCGGAATGCCACCCCTAGAAATGTGCCACCCCAAGCACCTGCTTGTTTTGCTGGTGCCTAAAGCAGGCCCTGTCTCTGCAGGTGGAGGGACCTATGAGCACATCCTTTTGCATAATCATTAATGTATTTAGCTTCACAAAATGCCTGTGAAGTAGGGCAGTGCTATTATCCTCATTGTACAGCTGGGGACCTGAGGCACAGAAAGATTAGATGATTTGTCCAAGGTCACAGAGGAATTCTGTGGCAGAGCAGGGATTTGAACCCACATCTCCCAAGTCCTTAACCACTGGACCATCCACTCTCTCATGTGTAGCTTTTACTTTAAAATGGTTTATTTTTTTATTGTAAACTGAATTTGTATGGGGATTTTTAAAAAAAACGTTTTACCTGCTGGTTGTGAATTTTTCCACAAAACATTTTTTCATCAGCTGAAAGGCTGTATGAGAATGTTATGGTTTTGACAAACTTCCTTTGGAAACCTGCCTTACTTCCTGACAGCTCACTGGGAACCCCAGGGCTGCCAGCAGGGACAGAGATTAGGAGAGTACGGGGGGACATTACTTCCCCAAACCAGAGGTGATGCATGGGGGGCACAAGGTGTCATGTACCCCCCAGATTTTTGCCTTCCATTTAGCATGCAGTTTTTCTACAAACTGTGTGGCGTGGCTGCCTAAGGTGATGCACCCCACAATTTGAAAACTGCCACCTCTTGCCAGGAGATGGTAGATTAGAAGTTGGTGGGAGCCACCCGGCCCTCTCAGGCCCCTGGCTCTCTGTGCTGAGGAAGCAGGGGCGATGGCTGGCTGGCCAGCAACCCTCCCTGCCATGTTCCCCCAGCCAGACCGCCTCTGCACAGTTGTGTGCTCCTCAGGCAGGGTGGGCGCCACAGCTCTGAGCTGCGCCCCAATCCGCTCTTTCCTTTCCCCCAAAGGAGCCTGCAGAGCCTGGCTGCCATGAGATGCTCCCTGAGGTGCTTGTTCACCACTGCCTTGGCACTTCTGGCTCTGCTGCTGCTCCTGAGAAGCCAGGGCAGCAGTGAGTGAGTGCCTCGGGGGGCATCTCATATAATTAAAATAAGGTTCCTGTGCAGAGTCTTGTGTGTGGAATGACATCAACTCTTGAAGCAGACACATACAACTCTCCTTGGATTGCAGCAGGTAAAAAGTTCCCATTCAATGCAACTTTGTTTACTTTAATAATGATTGAAAGAACCTGACCAACACTACACATGCATCTTGTTAATATCTCATGATATATCACTAACAGCTTGGTATTTATGAACCACTGACAAGTGCGCCTAGTGCTGTACAATTGCATGGTCTCTGCTCACAGGAGCTTACAAACTAAGTTAAGTATTTGTATATTTCCTCTATATGCCAGTAACTGTTTATATATATTATACAATAAAAATCTGATGGCACACAATGGCACACAATAGTTAAGAATGTGCTTATCATTTTAGTGATACCTAATATTTCTCTGGAAAATGCTGTTGCGTGTGTGTGTGAGAGAGAGAGAGAGAGAGAGAGAGAGATGCAACTTCAGATTCCAGGTGCGGGATCTATAAATTGTAAAATAGATCTTACTCAATCTTTCATTTCCCTGCACATATGTCAATACGTGCAGCTAACAGGAGGGAGGATGAAGTCCTTTCTTTCAGTTTATTTTTCTGTTCCTTGCTCTTCGCTATCTTTTTAGGCATTGCTTTGTAATAAAATTAAATGAGAGAGTGAAGAATCACACATCTCTTTGTATGTCATACTTTGTTTCTTTACCTGAGTGTCATGGATCTTCACCTTTTCAGTTTTAATGTTTCAGATAATGTTTTTATCTTCTGTAGTTTGGGTGGATATGGGTTTGGAGCTGTGTTTTTGTTGGAATGCTGTTACTTTGGATCCCTGCAGTTTTCAGGGCTTGGAAAAAGTTAAAACTTACAATAATAGACAAAGTAAACACACTATTAAAGGGGAAAACATTAAATCTCTGTTTGTTCACCTGCATGTTGGAGATGCATCTGTGCACAGCAGCAACGGAAATACTCTAGATATTAAATTGGACAAAAATAAATTTGTTTAAATGCCCGAGACTTTGTTCCGATGGGATTTATGCCCCAGATTGTTGCTGCAAACTAACTTACATTGTGGCATGTAGAATATACGTTGGGGGGGGGGAAGAGAGATAAACATAGATAATGACAGCTAGAATAGAGCTGTTAGTGCATGCGCCTGTGTGCGTGTAATTAAGAAATATGCTGTGACAGCCAGTGCATTTCTCAGTGATTATAGCATGTCTGTGATGTGGAAAGGCATGAGGCTGATGTCCAAGTATTGTAACCACCCAAGAAGTGCAGTAATCCCCTAAAAATTACACAGCCTGCAGAGTCCTATGGACAGGCTCCCTCCCCATCTTTAGGATTTTTGGGTCAATGAGATGAGTTGTTGGAGGGTAGGGGGTTGTTGGTTCACCTCCAAGCAGTAACCATTGCTTTATTTAAGGCCTGAGTCTGAAGTGTGGTATATCTCTCTGGAAGGAGACCTGCTGTCTCTGCTGCACTAGAAGTGGAGCCTGGCCACTTGCATCAGGGTCCATGTATACGTGACAAATCTAAATATAATGTCAAAGGACAGTTCTCTAAATGAACTGGGGAATTTGGGAACCACCATGTCATCAGCTTTCCCTCTCCCTCTGCTCCACGTTACTCTGCCTCTTTTTTCTGCCCCCCCCCCTTTTCCTCCAGCTGCTCTTAAGGGCTGGTGTTTTGTTAATAGGTTCCCCCGTTATTCCCTTTCTTTTGGTTGCCAGTAGGTAGCAGAGCAGGCTCCTCCCCTTGTGGCCATGTTGATTTCCCAGCAGAGGAATGTGGCTGCATGAACGGTCAGTGGATGGGAAAAATCTCAGAGTGGCTCTATTACTTTCCTTGCCACAGAATGACTGATGACAACAGGCTTTGTGGGATATAGCATGGGTGTATGTGTGGGGGAGTGTGACTAACCTGGGAACACGAAACCTCTCTATAGCTAGCTTCCAACTTCAACAATTAGTGACGGCAGCCCTCACAAAGACTAGGGCAGGAAACTTTATCAGTGTTGCCAATGCTTGTGATTTTTTCATATTTTTCCTTAAAACCCCAGCTCCTAGAGTCATGTCATTAAGTGAGAATCTGTTGTTTTTTTTAAAGATACGTTTTTAGCCCAGATAGGTGTCTAGAAAAGCTTGAAAATGAAACCTAAATCCCAGAAGCCAGAAGGCAAATAAAAAGAACCAGTGGCATTTAACTGAGATGTGGGAGAAGCTGGGAGTGTTCAAGTCCCTGGTCTGTATCAGGATAAATACCCTAACCACTGGGCTATTGGCTACTGTCTGGTTTTGATCAGAAATTCCATTCTGGACCTGAGAAACCTAGCTGACTCATGTTTCCTCAAAACAAATACATTTATGCAAAAACGTATCTATTTAAAATATATCATCTCATGAGCTTTTTGAGGTCTGCCACATGATTTTTTTAAATGTTGGGGCACTCAACACTGTATGAATCGTTTTGGGCATTGAAAGGATACCTTTATATACAAATTCATGATTATGAAATCTTCCTTTTCACTGCAATATATACAGCATAATTTAGCAAGATAAGAGAAGATATGATGTGAGCATAAGAAGGATATGACTCTACCCTCCTACTTAAAATTATTTTTTTCTGTCTGGCAAGTATTCTACCTTTCCCCCTAACGTTGTAGTTATGTTCCTGAAAAATGCAACTTTAAGCGAAATGATGTTAAGCAAATCCAATTTCCCCATAAGAATTAATGTAAATGAGGGGGTTAGGTTCCAGGGAAATTTTTTTCACCAGACAAAAAGACTACACACACACACACACACACTCTGTAAGTTTTAAACAAACATCCTGACATTAGCCCCCCCCTGACATTAGCCCCCCCCTTGCAGAGGGCAAGAGCAGCACATGGCTGTGGGGGGGAAGGACAGCTGAACTGCCAGCAATTGATAGCCTGCTGGGCAGCTGTTGCACAGGGAACTTAGGGGAGCTTCTAGGGGGGAGCTGCTAGAGCGGCTGTCGGTCCATCATGGTTCCAACCACCCACCCACTAACTACAATGGGCTGCAAGTAGTGGACAAAACAAGCAACTGCAAAACAACTTTACAAGGGAGTAATGCACAACTTTAAACAAGCATGTTCCTTAACTGATCAGCCATGTAACACCGTTAACCGGGACGGCTTTAAGTAAGGAGTTCTTGTACCTCCGTTGATTTCCCACCCAGGGGCATCTCTGCCAGATCCAAATTAAAAGCTGATGACTATTTATATTGCAGTAACATCCAGAAAGGGGCAAGATCCCACTGTAGTAGTTGATGTACAAAAAACTTAGGAAGAAATGGTCCCACAATCCTTGCCCCCAAAGAGTTTTCTTTCTGAAAAAGACCAAAAACAAAGGTATAGGAATCAAGGATAAAACAAAGGGGTCAGGATGACAACAGGCGCATGTCATGTGAGGTCTTTTTTGGTGGGGTACTGACCCTTACACACTGCTGATTCTCTGTTTTAAATGGTCATAACCGTCCTTTTCTAGTTATATTTTTAAGTACTTTGTTTGAATATATTTGGCACAGATATAGAATTAAAAATGTCGCTACTTGGTATCAGATCTAAGTAGAGATGGGTCCAAGCCATTACATTTAGACTTTGAGCACCCTCAAAGTTAAAGTATGTTTGGTTCTAGTGTGTGAGTACAGAACCACCTTTGCAATAGCTTTT